TGACTCAAGCTCCCAGGGACCTTACCAGGTATCCCCAAGGTGGCCTCAATAGTAGCCAGGTGGGAGCTTGTGCACTGGGCTCCCCCAGCTGAGTAAGACCATGGGGAACACATTGACGGGGACTACAAAGCCTGAGAGAGCTACAGATCCACACACCTTCAGTGAAGGTGGAAAACCTGGAAGGGGCCCGACTCCTGGGACCACATCAATAGACAGTGGCCAGAGGAGGGGCGGGAAGAGTGGATGCAGGATGCTACGGGTGTAGGTGTGGCCTGACTGTGCTCACACAGGTTGGTGGAAGCAGTGCTCTGACCTGCTCTGACACAACTGTGGACCTTCGATAACAGTTTACAGAATGGATCTCCCAAAACGTAAGGTACAGGCTCGAGGTGTGCTATCCTACTTCCTGCTATATTCTGTCCTTTCCATCTGTTTGCTTATTGGAGACAATAAGCTGTGTAGCCCAGGCTAGCCTCCCATTTGCCAAAATTTCCCTGAGGCAGCTTCTTGGCTTGCTGAGACTAAGCAGGGTCTCAGATAGCACAGATTTTTCTCAAAATTTGTATGTAGTCAAGAATGATCTGGAACTCCTAACCCTCCTGCCCTCACCTCCCACTTTGGGATTACAAGTATGTGCCACCATGCCTGGCTTCAGGCAGATTTTTTACAATTCTTTTGTGTGTATGTGTTTATGCACACATGGATCGTATAAGTGCAGGAGTTCTTGAAGGCAGAAGATGCCAGATCCCCTCCTCTGGAGACTGAGTTACAGGCAGCTCTGATCTGCCCCATGGAGATGCTAGGACCCAAACTCCAGTGCCTCGGAAGAGTGCTAAGCCATCTCTCAGGTCCCTTTCTCCTTCCTTCCTTCCTTCCTTCCTTCCTTCCTTCCTTCCTTCCTTCCTTCCTTCCTTTCCTCCTTTCTTTCTTTTCTTCTCTCTTTATTTCAAATACTTAGACTCACTATCCAGTCCTTTCACACTATTTATTTATTTATTTATTTATTTTTTGGTTTTTACGAGACAGGGTTTCTCTGTATTGTTTTGGAGGCTGTCGGACCAGCCTGGCCTCGAACTCACAGAGATCCGCCTGCCTCTGCCTCCCGAGTGCTGGGATTAAAGGCATGCACCACCACCGCCCAGCTCCTTTCACACGTTTTTATAGCATTTGAAATTTACTGAGTCTGGGGATGTAGTTTAGTTGTTAGTAGCCCTAGGTTTGACTGTCATAAAACGCACCACGTAAAACCAGGCCTGAGGCTGAGTAGGTGGTGCCATGATAATGGTGCTTACTGAACAAGCATGAGGACCTAAGTGTAAATACTTGGCACTCACGTAAAAAGCGGGCATGGCTGCATGCTCACATCTGTAGCCCGAGCACTGTGGGGAAGAGGCAGGAGGATTACTGGAGCTTGTGGCTATAGCTCCAGGTTCAGTGAGAGACGCTGTGTCAAGCAATAAGGTGGAGTGTGACCGAGCAGGACAACTGACGTCCTCCTAGCGCCTCTGTGTGCTCATGGCTTGTTACCTCATTTTCTACACATCCTGCTTCCTCAGCGGCTGACTGGCGTCTCCCTGACTCCGCCCTTCTTCATCCCAGCATCCTCGTTTTGATTGTCCTAGCTAACTTTATCCTGCCTTGCCAATCGGCTTCTTTCTTTGTTTGTTTGTTTGTTTTCCAGACAGGGTTTCTCTGTGTAGCTCTGGAGGCCATCCTGGGACTGGCTCTGTAGACCAGGCTGGCCTCGAATTCACAGAGATCCATCTGCCCTTGCCTCCCAAGTGCTGGGACTAAAGGCGTGTGCCACCACTGCCCGACGAAATATGGGTTAATTTAAATGTAAGAGTTAGCTAGTAACAAGCCTGAGCTATTGGCTGAGCATTTATAAATAATATTAAGCCTCTGTGTTGGTTATTTGGGAGCAGGTGGTCGGAACAGGAAAACTCAGTCTATAGCACACTTTCTCTGATAGTTACTTTGGCAAAGTACTCCACAGAAACAACTTGAGAAATAGCTTATTCTGACTGAAACTCAGAGACACATCAGTGTATTGTGGCCAGGAAGGCATGGTGGCAGAAACATGAGTTCCTTTGTTCAAGTCACAGCACACAGGAAGCAGAGAGCATGATTGGAACCCAGGACAAGCATGACATCCTAAGAACCAGTGCCAGAGGGTCTTATTTCCACCAGCCGGGCTCACTTTTTCCAGGCTCACAGACTTCAAACTAATTCTACAAACTGGGGACAGAGGGTTCAAAACATAAGCCTATGAAGGAAAGACATTCCAGGTTCCAGGTTCAAAGTGTGACATCAGAGAAGGAGCCAGGGACCAGGAGAGGCAACGTGGGAGAGAGCAGGTCAAGGAGGGAGTCTGTGGACTGTGATATCACACCTTGTGGTGTGACCCAGAGCTGGCATTGGCTGGCATCTACAGGCATGGGAAAGCCAGTTACCATGCTAAGCTTCTGTTATACTGACCAGCATCTCTTGTTTTGTTTATGTTTGTTTGTTTATTATAAGAAAATACAGGCAGTGGTGGTGCGTGCTTTTAACCCCAGCATTGGAGGCCTGGTCTACAGAGTGAATTCAAAAGACTGGCTCCATCGATACTGAGCAACTCTGTCTCAAAAACAAAACAAAAAGAAAGAGAGAGAAAAGAATCCCACCACCAGTGAGTCTGGGAAACAGGGAGGACCCTAAGAGAGATATGCATGGTACTCTGGAGAAGGGGAATGGGAACATGGAAGGAGAGGAGGGGAGAGGAAGCTGGGAGAAAAAGGGAGGAGAAGAGAGAAGAGGAGGACATGGGGGAGCAGGAAGATTGAGGCAGGGGAAGAAGAGAGGAGAAAGCAGGATGAGAGATACCATAATAGAGGGAGCCACTATAGGTTTGAGAAGAGATCTGGCATTAATGAGATTTACAGAGATCTATAAGCATGACACCAACTGACAATCTAAGCAACAGTGGAGAGGCTACCTTAAATGCCCTTCCCCGATAATGAGATTGATGACTGCCTTGTATGCCATTTTAGAGACTTCATCCAGTAGCTGATGGAAGCAGAGGCAGACAGCCACAACTGAACACTGAACTGAACTCCTGGAACCCAGTTGCAGAGAGGGAGGAGTGATGAGCAAAGGAGTCAAGACCAGGATGGTGAAACCCACAGAGGCAGCTGCCCTGAACAAGGGGGAGCTCATGGACCTCAGACTGGTGACTAAGAGGCCAGCATGGGACTAATTCAGACCCCCTGAACGTGGGTGTCAGTGAGGAGGCCTTAGCAATCTATGGGGCCTTGGATAGTAGATCAGTATTTAACCCTGGAGTACATTCCACATGGAGGGATGCTCTCTCAGCCTGGACATATGAGGGAGGGACAGACTTTGAAGATTCCCCATGGAGGGCCTCACCATCCTTGGGGAGTGAAGGGGGGGATTGGATGGGGGGTTGGGGAGGTTGGTGGGGTTGGGGGAGGAGGGGAGGGTGAGGGAGCTGGGATTGACATGTCAAGCAAGCTTGTTTCTAATTTAAATAAAATTTTAAAAATTAAGGAAAAAAAGGGATGTCACTGGGCAGTGGTGTCACACACCTTTAATTCCAGCACTTGGGAAGCAGAGACAGGCAAATCTCAGTGAGTTTGAGGCTACCCTGGTCTACAAAGCAAGTTCTAGGATAGCCAGAGCTACATGGAGAAACCCTGTTGAAAAAAAAAAAGAACGAAAGAAAAGGTTTCACTGTGTAGCCTTGACTGTCCTGAAGCTCGTTATGTAGACCAGGCTGACCTCGAACTCACAGAGAGCCACCTGCCTCTGCCTACCAAGTGCTGGGATTAAAGGCGTGTGCCACCGCATCTGGCCCAATATTTTTATTATTACATTTCTTGTCTCTCTGTCTGCCTGTCTCTCTGTATGTATCTGTGTCTCTGTCTCTATCTCTCTGTGTCTCTGTCTCTCCCTCTGTGTGTGTGTGTGTGTGTGTGTGTGTGTGTGTGTGTGTGCGCGCGCGCGCGTGCGTTGCCATGGCACATATGTAGATTGCAGAGGACAACTTGTAGCAGTCAATTCTCTTCTACCATAGGTCCTGAACATCCTCTTCAGACATCACAGCCTTGGAGGCAAGAGCCCTTTTCCAGTGAGCTGTTTCACTGGCCTCAACTTTAAAGTGTTCCCACTGGGAACAAAACCTGAAGAGCTTGAAGACTGAAGAGAGGTGAGATGCAAATCCCAGAGTCAGTGACTTGAAGAAGCTGATCTCCACCCTCACCCCCACCACCCCGAGGAGAGAGGATGGAAATGTAGACCTAAGACTTTGGAGAGATGCTAGGGCCCACGCTCTTTTTAGGACTACCCTGGAGTTTGCAACCTTTTGCAGCTCCCCCCCCGCCCTTCCCCCCAGCCCAGCTAAGCAGGTAGATTGCCCTGTGTCACAAGGTCAACTGTAGCACTAAGGATAGTCAGTCTAGATGCCACCCAGGCTCTGTTCTCCATTGTCCCTCCCCATTGCTGGAGAAATGTGTCCCAAAGAAAGATTGGCTAAATTGGTATCCTGAAGCACCAGTGAGGGGTGATATCAATCTTGATTCTAAGCTGATGTAGCACATCTGTAATCCCAGCTCCTGAGAGGCTAAGGCAGAAGGATCAGAGTGGGAAACCAATCTGAATTATACAGCAAGACACCAACTCTCCACCCACCTCAAGAAATAAAAAAAAAAAAACCCTCACTGATTCTAACACAATATCATCCTCCCTTATCATTCCGCAAAGTATTGTCATCACAACTTCTCACAACCTGGTGGCTGCACCTACACCCACCTACACACCCCCATGGTAAACCGAGACAGTCATCTTTCATTCCCCATGTACCTGCAGCGCTGGCTACAAATCATCCCCTATATTCAGCCCACCGGGACAGTCACTTGGTAGGCTCAGGACCCCCAAGACCTTGCTCTGCAAGTACCTGTGACATCACTAGCTGCCCTCCACCTCCTGTGACCTCACCACCTGGACAACTGAGCCTAGCAGAGCCAAGCCACTCCTCCCCAAACACCATACGTAGCAGGGGGCATAGATGATCACCGAGCCCTTGGAAGAGGCTGAAGCCACCAGCAAGCCAGTATATGATCTTCCTGAGGCCTCCGTGGGCAACGAAGCTGATGACAACTCTGCAGTCATACATGGAGAGTCCCAAAGTCCAGACTATCTGCCTGATGATGGCCCGCCGGTAGAAAGCACTTCAACAATATCTGAAGAGAAGGATGTAGACCAGGCCTCTGAGTCAACAATCACTGCCACAGAGCGAGACGAAGATCAAATCTCCATCAAGACTGACACCTTCACGGAGCAGGATGAAGACCAGGCCTCAATGCAGAGTGCGTCCTCCAAGGAGCAATATGTAGACCAGGTGTCCACAAAGACCGCCACTCTCGTTGGGCCGGATAAAGACCAGGCCTCCGTGCAGATTGCCACCTCCATGGGGCAGGATGAAGACCAGGAGTCCAAGACAATTGCCACTTCCATGGGACAAGATGGGAATCAGGCCTCCATGCAGATGACTACCTCCCCAGGGCAAGATGTCAAGACAGCCATCTCCATGGATTTGTCAACTTCTGGGGACAAAGATGAGAGCCCAGATGCTCCAAGCCATAACCAGGAGAATCCTGAAGAAAGCCCCTCTCTGTTGTCCCAAAACCAGGGGGTCCTGCAAATGTTTGTGGGCTTCCAGAATCCAGTGTGGGACAGACTGGCTGAAAATCACCGTCGGAGCCGCACAGTTTCCCCAAGTGACTCCCAGAGCCAGGAAAAGATAGCAGGAAAGCTCAGTGTTCCTGAAGGGCAGCCAGAGACAGCTCCAAGTGCTGACATCCCCTCTGCCCCGCCTGAAGATGTCCAGCCTTCTGAGGGAGCTGCCGACTCATCTTTGGATACCAGTAGTCCTGACCAAGAGCGCATGGGTATCACCAAGTCTGCTGAGCAGGAAGCTGAAGGTTTCCAGGCCTCGAACCCCGAAAGCAAAGCTCCAGTGCCAACCGGGGAGGATTTAGCTGACAACTCAAGGACCGTGCAGACTCCCCCACCTTCCCCCAGCTCCCCAGGGGGCAGTCCACCTCCCTCTCCAGATCCCCACCACATATCCCTGGACAGGAACCTTCTAGACCCCAGCCTGTACAGGCCTGATGTGGAGAATGACTACATGCGCTCCATGACTAGCCTGCTGGGTGGTGGTGAGGGCTCCATCAGCTCCCTCGCAGACATCCTGGTGTGGTCAGACACAGCCACGGGCATGGGTTTGGCCCTGGGCCTTCTGGCCTCAGACCACAGCTCTCCAGCTGACAGGCTCCATGATGAGGGTCCCAGCCTGCGCACTGTCTCTAGCCTCTTGGGCAGTGCCAGGTCAGCTTTCTCCTCAGGGTTGGTGGCTGGGACTGGCTCGGCCCTGCGCTCAGTCACACACCTCCTGGAGTCCGTTGAGAGGCGAACTGTGGAAGGCATCCGTTCAGCTGTGCGCTACCTGGCCAACCACTTGACCCCACGCTGGGCCCGCACTGGCCCCAATTGACTAGACCACAAGTCCCCTGCTCCCACCCCACGTCTGGATAGATGATCCCACCCAGACCTTCAGTAAATATCCACAAGCGTTTATTTTCTAAGCTCCGCCCTTATCCATGCAGTGGGCCTGCGGTCAAAAGACAGAAGGGTCCAAAATATTCTGGAAATAAGAACACTTTTAGGTTGTGCATTTGAGTCAGCCGGGCTCTGACAGGGCTGGGGAACAGACCGGAAGGGCGTTTCAGATGGGCAAAAGGGAGCCGGGCATTGGTGGCACACGCCTTTAATCCCAGCACTTGGGAGGCAGAGGCAGGCGGATCTCTGTGAGTTCGAGGCCAGCCTGGTCTACAGAGCAAGTTCCAGGACAGCCTCCAAAACAATACAGAGAAACCCTGTCTTGGAAAGCAAAACAAAACAAAACAAAGATGGGGGAAAATCAGCGGTTTTTCCACAGGTAACATGCCCATTCCTGAGCCCCATGCCCAGGTTACCTGTTGAGCCTCTGGGAGGCAGTAGAGAGTATTGGGAAGAAAGTACTATATAGGCTTCATAGTAGGGATACACACACTTGGGTCCCGAGAATCCTTTTAAGGTTAAAAGCAGACTTCTGGTGTCTGTTGCCCTAGGCCCCACTCCAGGCCTCCATCTCCTTGTCTTGGGATAGAGAGAGGAGCTCTACCACACACAAACATGGACACACCAGTGCTTAAGACACAGGGACACAACGGAACTATGTAGCACTCCATGGAACAGGGCTCAGGGAGGGTGACCAAACCATCATTGGCCTAAGGGGGTGGGAGGAAACTGTCATGGACATAAGGCCACTCAATTTCAAACTGGCCAAACAATGGCTGCCCACCTTTGGCCCAGGTTATTTCCATGATGTTTACTCTGGCCTCTGCCATCTGCATCTTAGAAAGTAGATACAGGAGCAAGAATCAGAGCACCCGGGTCACGTGTGTTGGAAGCCACAGTCATCCTCTGGCAAGACCCAGTGTTACACCTTGGGCAAAGCCCCAGCCCAACCCTGCCCTCAGGCACAGCCTTACACACAGCCAGGGACCATCCATCCATCAATTCTAACTTTCCTGTGTGTCTCCAAATAGGGACCTGGGGATGAACCCAGCCCATTGACTGGTTTGGCTTTTAGAGTTTTTCCATGCTCATATTTTTAAAAAATATTTTTCTTTTTAAATGTTTATGTATGTGAGTATTTTACCTGCATGTATGTATACACAGTACATTCATATAGTGTCCACAGAGGCCAGAAGAGGTTGCTGGATTCCCCACTTCCCAAACTGGAGGGTTGAGTCATCATTTGGGTGTGGGGAATCGAATCTGGGTCCGCTGCAAGAGCAGCTAGTGCCTCTTAACTGGTGAGCCATCTCTCTGGTCCCAATTGCTCTCATTTTTAAAGTATGCATAATGTCTTAGTTAGGGTTTCTATTGCTGTGAAGAGACACCATGACCACAACACTATTATAAAGGAAAACATCTAATTGAGGTGACACACAGTTTAGAAGTTTAATTCATTATCATGGCAGGGAGCATGGTGGCTGGGAGTATGGCGTCATGTAGGCAGACATGGTGCTGGAGAATTCTGCATCTTGATCCAAAGGCAACAGGAAGTGAACTGTCTCACTGGTCGTGGCTTGAGCATATATGAAAAAATTGGGATGGCACCCTTGGGGATGGAGGTGAACATTCAACACCCCAGCCGGAATGATATGGCCAAGTGTGAAACGACAGAGCAAGAAGAATAAAATAGAAGGCAGGAGGAACACAAAAAGACCTCCCCCTTCACCACCCACTGCAAGAGAAACAGAGGGACCTATTGTAGAATATTAGTTGAAAATGTGTCTCATTTGTTTATGCTGTGTAGTTATTTGTTTAATGATACAAAGATGTGTTGCACTCATTTATGTTGCATTTGTTTAACTCTGTGAAGCTGTGTTACTGCCTGCCTAAAAAACCTGATTGGTCTAATAAAGAGCTGAATGGCCAATAGCTAGGCAGGAGAGGGATAGGGGTGGGGCTGCCAGGCAGAGAGAATAAATATGAGGAGAAATCTAGGCTTGTAAGAGAGAAGAGAAGGAGCAAGGAAAAGAGGAGAGGAGGATGCCAGGGGCCAGTTAGCCACCCACCAGTGAAAAGGAAAATGTGGCGTATAGAATGGAGGAAGGTAAAAGCCCAGAGGCAAAAGGTAGACAAAGCTACGGTCTCACATTAATAATTAAGAATACGTCCCGTGTATTTATTTGGGAGCAGGCCCCCAAAGAGCAAACAGTGAAAAGAAAAACCAGCTGCAGGGAGCAGCTCATAGGACACAGACCCCAGGGCAAGTGACCTTGTCCGTGATGGGCACATGGCCCTGAAGGCGCCCAAACTACACAAGCTAAAAGAAATTAACACCAGCAAAGTGCAGGGAGGGTGCGGGGCGGCTGCTTGCAGAGTGCTCTAAAGTGCTGAGACGTGAAGCAGGACAAAGTCACGGGCAACCTGTGACAGTAGACAGCAGTTTCTGGAACGAGCTTTTGAATGTATCCTTCAACAACTGGAGGATAGAGGCAAAAGGGTTAGAAGTTCAAGGCCTAGGCTGCCTGGAACCCTGCCTCACAAACACAGCAGGGGTCCTCCAAAGCCACAGAGAAACCCTGTCTCGAAACCCCCCCCCAAAAAAAAACACCACAGCAGGGGCTGGAGAGCTGGCTCACCAGTTAAGAGCACTTGCAGTTCTTGCAGAAAACCAGGGTTCGAAACCAGCACGGCGACTCAGCCATTTGCGACTCCAGTCAGGGGATCTAACAGTCTCTCTTCAAGCCTTTACGGGCACCAGGCATACAAATGGTACACAGACAAATGCAAATAAAACATTCATATACATAAAATTTTTCTAAAAAGCCTGGTGGTGGTGGCACATGCCTTTAACCCCAGCACTTGGGAGGCGGAGGCAGGCGGATCTCTGAGTTTGAAGCCAGCCTGGTCCACAGAGCGATTTCCAGAATAGGCTTCAAAGCCATACAGAGAAACCTTGTCTCGAAAAACCAAAAAGTAAATTAAAAATTAAAATTAAATAAAAAACATAGACTTTGGGCCAGGTGATCATGATGCATGTTTTTAATCCCAGCACTTAGGAGGCAGAGGCAAGCTGATCTCTGTGAGTTCAAGGCCAACCTAGTCTATAGAGCAAGTGCCAGGACAGCCAGCGCTACATAGAAACTGGAAAACGAGGGGGGGTTGAGGAAGGAAGACAAAAACAATAGGCCCAGTACAATGGCCCACAACTTTAGTCCAGGTACTGGGGAGGCAGAGGCAGGTGAAGGTTAGCTAGGTCTACATAGCAAGTAGTTCCAGGCCAGTTGGGGCTACACACAATAAGTCCCTGTCTCAAAAAAATAAAAAAGGAGACAAAATGTCATTTCTGCCAGACCAGTAGTCAGCAGGACAGGGCTAGTGTCTGCCGTCTGTATCAAGGAAGGCCTTGTTCCCCCATGTGAGGATAGCTGGGGTTAGTGGACCGGCACCGAACTTTGACTTTTCTGCCCGCCCACTCTCCTCCTCCGCCTTCTCTTCACGATCTTCCCTCACAGCAGGCTGTGACCATGGCTGCTGTCTTCCTAAGAGATGGGTATGTGGGGCTGGAGAGATGACTCAGAGGTTAGGAGCACCGGCTGCTCTTCCAGAGGTTCTGAGTTCAAATCCCAGCACCACATGGTGGCTCACAGCCATCTGTAATGAGATGTGGTGCCCTCTTCTGGTGTGCAGGCAGAAACAATGTATACACAATAAATTGTGGGAACAACAGACCTTGGCTGGAGGCCCACTTCCCCATCAGCCTGGGAGCAGGCAGCTGTAACCCATCTCAGAGAAGACATGTTTACTAAAAACAATACGGTGCTGGTAAGAAATGTTTACCGGAGCAATAAGTTCCTGAGAAGGGCTCACCCATGGGAACACCCTGATTTTGACCTTTCCAATGACTAACTGCCTCTTCCTGACCCCACCACCACCGCATCTGGTGTCAGGGTATATAAGCAGCCGGGGTAAGCATAAAGCCGGGGGTGGGGGAGGGGGTGGGGGGGGGGGGGTTGCTTTCTTTATACCACCGACTGGTCTCTGTGTCATCAATCCCGACACCCTCCACACATTCTTGGACACAGGCTGAGAGAGCGGGTGCAGCAATAAATAAATAAAAATTTTAAAAAAGATATGGGTATGTATATGTCATAAATTCAAACCATAGGAAAAAGTCAAGCCAGGCATGGTGACTAAAACAGAAGAATTGCAAATTATAGGCCAGCCTGGTCTACAGAGTTAGTTCTAGGACAACCAGGGCTACACAGAGAAACCTTGTCTGGAAAAATTGGTGTGTGTGTGTGTGTGTGAGTGTGTGTGTGTATCAGACCGGATACAGTGGCACATGTGTTTCATACCCCTACTTGGGAGGCAGAAGCAGACAGATTTCTGAGTTCCAGGACAGCCAGTGATACCCTATGAAAAAAAATTATGCTAGGCATGGTGGCACACACTTTTAATCCCAGTATTCAGGAGGCAGAGGCAGGTGGATCTCTGTGAGTTCAAGGCCAGCCTGGTCTACATAGTGTGTTCCAGGACAGCTAGGGCTGTTTCACAGAGAAACCCTGTTTCAAAAACAAAACAAAATAAAAACAAACAAAAATTTATAAAAATAAATCCAGTCTGGGCTGCATAGTGAAATCCTTATTTCAATAATAATAATAATAACAATAACAATAATATAATAATAAAAAGAATAGGGCTGAGAGGAAGTGGCCATAAATGTGAGGACATGAATTCAGACTCCCATGTAAAAGATCACTCAGAACGCAGAGGCTAGAGGACTTCTGTGAGTTCGAGTCCAGCCTGGTCTACAGAGGGAGTTCCAAGACAGCCCAGTCTCAAAAAGAAGAAAGAAAGAAAAGAAAGAAAGAAAATTTGGAAGTTTAGGCTAGGAGTGTAACACCCATACCTAAACACACACATAAACACAGTAATAATTAAAACAAACATGGTTTTTAAAACACATCTCTAATTATTGAACTGAAAGGCTGCACCACTCCAGGTGGAGGAATAGCCTCATTTC